AGCCATACTTAATTAAAATGCAGAATAAACTTTTTATTTTCAATTATGACGTCATTAACAATTACCAAGTTGATTACTTAATCCTTTTAAAACATTTCCTGTATGTAATTGCAAATAAACAGCTATCTACACTGAATAACCTCATAATATAAATATGTGAGTATCTAAGTCATGGAACTACAACATGTAGTCCGGACCATAATCCTGATACATTAATACAACTCAAGGCTAAGATAAGACATAGTCAATCAATGTGGCATGGACAACCCCCATGCTCACCAAATAAGGCAACAAAGCCCAACAGAGTCTCACAACAATTAACAGGATAATAAATATAAGCTTGTCATCACCCAAGCACATCTCATAAACATCATATATCTAACTCAGCTCCGGCCTCCTGCCGCCCGAGGTCTCAACTCCCGAGTTACCTGAACCTGAAATATGTGCCCCAAACGTGGGGTGAGATCTCTAAACAGAAATCTCAGTAAGGCAAGGGGTCCTCAATGATTTCTCCACCCCACGCTCACTTACATGTGCAATATAAGTTCTAAAAGCAATATACAATATCAGTTCCAAAATCAGTGCAATGCAACTGATAACACATATTTTATTACACTTATTTATTACTCTTGGTTGCTATTTTTAGGATTTATTTTAATTAAATAAAGGTCTTTTGGGTCAAATTATAATTCTAGATTTTGATTGGGTTTAATTGATTTTCGTCAGATTTTTTCAGATTTACACTACTTTCGTATTTTGGCTATATCTCACTCTACTGATGTACGATTAACTCTGTTCTTGTTGCGTTTTGCAGATAACAGAAAGAGATACAATCTCTATTTCAGCTACTGAAGCCCAATTTGGACAGAAATATGGTCGAAAACTGAGCCCAAGATGACGTGTTTTTGCTGGAATTTTATTTTGACATTTTGACTTGTAAATTAATTAGAACCCAATGTGTTTAGGGCCCAAGGCCATGTTTTAATATTTTATTTTATTTTATTTTATTCAGTTTTTATTTTATGTATGGGCCGAAGTGGTGAAACCCTAACCCGTTCTGAATGCGGGTTATTTAAGAGAAACGTTAGTAAACCCTTCGGCAGTCAGAGATTTTGAGTTGAACAATTGTTTTAGTTTTCTTTATCGAAATTCTGCACTTTTCTTTTCATCTTCTTCTTCTTTTTCTTTTATGCTATTTAATTTTGAATTATGTTTCACCTTGCGATGCTAGGCTAAACACCTTTAATCAATCTAAGGTTAAAGGTTCGTTAGTTTATTTCAGAGGATCGATTTTCAACTTTTCCATCAATTTCGTTTTTTCCCAATTCAAGTTGAATATCATGCGATTGTAGATATTCAAACTGAATAATGCGATTGCATTCTAACAAGGGAAGATTGATCATTAGATTTAATGGTCAGATTAATCAACCCAATGAACAAAAGCTGAACAGGTTTAAATTATTCGATTGCATAGTTTAAATACTGTACTCAACCAAACGCTAGGCGATAGTCTAAAGAGGGTTTCTAATTGAATTTGAGGATTCCTAATTCGATTGGGGTTAATCACAAATTGATAATCATATCTTTTTATCCAATGACGAAATAAATTAATGAATACTGATTCCTTAGGTTGATTGCTTTTTAAATTCTGATTTTTAAATCCAAAATCAAATCTTTTTTATTTAATTTGCAAATCAACAAAATCCCCCTTCCCTTTTATATTTTATTTTACAAGAGCGTTTCTGATTTCTAGCAGGTTCTTTGGGAGACGATCCGAGTTTCCCTTTCACTACAAACCTGAAGCTCGGTAATTTGCGTGGGTTCGACAGCACACGTCAGCAACAGATAACCATGTCATGTGTGTCAAGATATTCTACTGGCTAGAGAAATGTAGGATTTACATACGTCTATTGCCTACATTAGTGCAAGACGCCACTTGCACCCACCTACAGAATCACCGTATTGTATGATGCAACATACTCAGGCTTACCGTCTAGATGGAACAACACATGCATATTATAAGGCCCTTGCACATAACAACTCAACAACATTTCAAAATCAATACATGAAAACACATTATGCATATAAACCATCCCCCCATGGGGTATGGTGGAACCAACAATGGCTAAACCGAGGACATGAAAGCTTACCTCGCAAGATAGCACGATCACAATCTTTTTATACAATAATTAATCAACAATAATAATTGCTCAAGATTCCATTAAGTGATTAAGGCTTTCCAACTCATTTTAAGTCATTTCATGCAAATTCTGCAGAAGGTATTCGAATATTCCTCGATGAGTATTCGAATACTCCTAGTCTCCAGAAAGTATCCGAATACTTTCACTCAAGTATTCAAATACCACAAGGTATCCGAATACTTTTCCCTCAGTATCCAAATACCACCAGGTATCCGAATACAAATACCACAGTATTCGAATACTACCCAGTATTTGAATACTTATTCAACGGTATCCGAATACTTTTCTTCCCATAAAAGTATTCCAATACTCCTCCAATGAGTATCCGACTACTGAAGGATAAGTATTCAAATACTACACGAAAAGTATTCGAATACTTATTAGACAAAATGCAGAAATTTGTGCATCCTCTGCATAAGTTCATATTTAAGGGTTCAAACGTGATTTGGAGTCCAATAACTCCATCAACAGATGTTCATTAACATGTTTAAGACTCAAACACAATCCTTAACTCAAATGATTCAAGTTTTACTTTTTAATGGATTAAACAAGCTAAAACCATAAAAATACACAAGAGATGATCGTGGTATACCTCCAAGGCTCAAAACTCCAAAAATGTGACAGATTAAAAGCCTCCAACACAGCACCAAGACTCTAGCTTTGCAAAGCTACGAAAATATACTACAAGGTTGGACCTTTCTCCATCAAAATGGTTTCTTGAAGCACCAAGTGCTAAGAAAATGACTCCCTCACAAACAACTCAGAAACTCAGCCACTCACCCTCACAAACAGAGCTCACAACTCAGAAGGGACGTGTCTATCCTGCTCACAAGGCCATATCTCAAGTGTTTACAAAAGAAGAGAGGAGGAATCAAGATTAAAAATGGTGCCTTGGGAGCATTACACGCCAAAGGCTCAAGCTTTGGGAGGAGGGGAGTGAAGTTCTTAAACAAGAGCACAAGGAACACTACGTAGACCAAATCAACAGCCCTAAGTTTTTGTGTCAAAGTTTGTATTTATAGGTACATTAAGTTAATCTCACAGTATTAGCACTAATAGTTATACTTATCATTTTAATTCCAAACTTGAGATTATGAACCTAGCCATTTTTCTAGGATTTGTCATATTTTTATATTATTTTCGCAGCATTTTGTCGGTACGCGCTTTTATGTAGCCGATATCAGTCCTGACACCAGTTCTCATTATTTTGACTTCAAACTTAGGATTTTAGTCCTAAATATTATTCTAGGAATATTTCCATATTTATTATAATTTTTCGGGATACTTCATCGGTACGCATTTACACCGTGAGGCAGAACCGGTATCTACACTTTTCGTCAGAAAAGCGACTTCCAACATTATTAATCACTTACCATAATTATTTAAGCCTTCTCATAATTATTAAGGTCAATTATAGAATTATCTCATTAAATTCTTAATTAATTAATTAAATTCCTAATTTAACGGTGCGGATTCTTACATTTGTCTTTTCTTATTTTGTTTCTTTCTCTTTATTTAATTATTTTTATTTAATTCTTATATAAGTTGGTCGGTTGGTGGATATCTTCAGCGCGCTGAGTTGCATTATCATTGTTCTCATTGCATGATTTGTCTTCTGTTATATTTAAATACTATGGTTGTTTAGTCTTAAAATAAATACTTTTGTGATATATATATATATATATATATATATATATATATAATGTGTGTATGTGTACGTGTACGTGTATAAAATTTAATTTTATAATTAAAAATCAACAATTTGATTGAATTGATTGTTTTAAATTTTTAAAAATATAGTTAAATTATTAATATTTTGAGTTGTGTTCAGCTATTGTACAAAGTAATTATAACCAATAATTTATAAATTGTAATATATTATTTTTAAAGGCTTGGTAGACTTGTTGGTCAAACCAAACTTTGTATTTTTTAAAAACAAACCAGATTAAGCTTATAACATGGCTTGTATACGGCTGTTAACTAGAATTAAGCTAACAAACCAAGCCTTGCTAATTGCTATCATTGTACAAAATATTGATAATTGAAAATTAGTCTTTTTCCGTTGTTAACTAGAACTATATGGGAGCTGATGTGGTACTTACAAGGGTAACTGTACTGGGTCGGTTGTTATCTTATATAAATATTTGGAAATATTAAATATTTGATAATTTACTTTGAATACCAGTATTCTTGAAAATAAAAGGAGTACCGAAGTAATTCCTAATTATACATTTAAAAAAGAAAAAACTATTCTCATGTCACATGAGGCAAGTTTTCTCTCCTACATACCCTTCGATAACTGTGCCACATTTTTTTTTTTTTTTTTTTTTTCAGGTGATGTAGCCCACCAGTTTGTCTCTATGACATGAGATAATTATCTCCTTTAATATGAGATTAATAAAACTCATTTAAAAAACATGAGACGTGTTATAAAAAAAAGAAAAAAAGAACATGAGACGTAATAAATTATCTGTAAACTACTTCTAACAACAGTTTGCATGTAATAAACAAATACCTTTGAGCACAACATCTTCCTTCTCACTGTTATTTTATTTGTATTTACTTGGCATACCAAACAAGCAGTATTCTAGCAACAAATGGCTGGACTCTATGATAATCACTCTAATTGTAACGCACACATTTTCTTTTCTTTTCTTTTCTTTCATTTATTGATAGTGGCAAGGCGGGACTCTTGATATTATAACATGGGATCGAAAGAATAGGAAGAAAAATGAACCCAAAAACCCAGAAATAAACAAAGGAACTATACAGAATTCATGTATTTACTTGCTTGCCATGTATGGTAAACTGAGTAGTTGTGCTTACAGAACACAACTGAATATTTTGCTATTGAATCAGTGTAGGTTAGATATGCCTCCAAGGTCTTTCTGCTAGGTTTACACATTCGCTATGCCTATAACAATCCACAAGATGGTCAATGGTCAATCCTGCAGCTTGCATAAAAGAGTGAACTATCACTGGACCCACAAACCGAAATCCACGCTTTACCAAGTCCTTGCTAAGGGCCTCTGCTTTTGGACTCCTCAATGGGACATTTCTTGGGTATCTATATCTGTTAATTATTGGTTTGTGATTTACATAACCCCATATATAGCTACTGAATGATCCACATTCCCTAACAATCTGTGGACAAAAGAAAATGCTTCAACTAACTTAGCTACCAAGGTTAAGTCATGAAAAGCAGAACAAGAAAAGTTTGTGTAGACATGAGTGCATGTACTTGCCTTCATTGTGGATTTGGCATTGTCTACTATGCACATGACTCTGCTATCGGCTAAAGAAAGTGCCTTGTTTGACGCTATCTCCATGATCTCCTTTTCATCCATTTTGGCAACAGTATTAGGATCAAATCCGGCAAACACTTCTCTGCGTCAAACATAATATAATTTACCTATGTTAATTTGATTACAAACAAGATAATTAACATGCATAGAATTAGAATTTGTCGCATACAAAGTTACCTAAGCGTTTCCTTTCTTTTTAGAATTTCTGTCCAGTTGTAGTCCATGAGCAATCCAGACATTGCAAGCAGCTCAAACAATTTGCTGTTTCATGATTTAACCAATTAAGATAATTGCATCAATGCCTACGTATCTAGATAGATGTGATTTACTAGGAAAGGAAATGTTGTTAGATACTGAAATATTACCACTTAGTACTTACTTGTCATCGTAAGCTGGAACTCCCCAACACTCATCATGAAATTCTATGTACGCCTTATCTGCATAATACCCCTAGATCAATTTTATATGGAATAAGATGCTTCCATGAACTATGCGAGTTATGTACTTTGGACCATTCATAAAATGTTACAACTTCCAAATAAAAATAAGATTTGACGTTTCTCTTATTGTAGGAGATAAAATTATCTCCTACACAGTGTGGGGCCTATGTGAGGTCATATGAAGAGAAAAGAGAAAAATAAAAAAATATGAGTCTCATGTATGTAAGAGATAATTTTATTTCTATAACATAAGAGATATTAAACTCATAATAATATTATTAATTGTCAACTAATAAATAACTAGAAGTAGGTAGAACCTCATAAATGTGGAGGAAGATAATTTTATGTTATTTTTTGAAAATATTTCAATCGGTTCATCGCTTCGCAACTAGTCCAATTTGGGGCGGATTCAGGATTAAGGCTTTAAACCCCTTCCAAAGGTGATATTGAGAAGGATCAAACACATATTCTCAGTCTCATCTACTTAGCTCTCATGCGCCAACTGAGCTACCACAATTTGGTGGAGGAAGATAATTTAAAATTGTAAAATGACATTATAGATTTTGAGATGAATATTATTGTATGACATCTGTTACGATCTTGTCATAATTTTTATTGCCAACAACATGTTAATTAATTGTAACATGTACCAACTACTCAGTGATACGATTATCATTACGTACTTCTACTGGCAATTAAGTTAAGCAGCACAAATCAACCAATTTAATAAGCATGATGTTACATTCGAGCTAGGTGGTATATTGATATTGAAGCGAAAACAAACTGACTTATTCGATTTGTTAAATCTTCATAACCAAAATAGAAGTTTATGTTTAGAAAGACTCGCTTTCAGGAAAAACTATGTGTATGTATTTGTACCTTTGCATTTCACCCCAGCTGAACATTTTAGCGCATATCAGTGCTAACTATCCCATAAACCCTGACTTGTGAGAACAAGAGTGAAAAACTTATATTTTTTACCAATGAGGCTAAACCACTCCACATTAAATCAGGGTAGGGGCAACGGCAATCTTTGCACATAATCTTATCGTTGCATATTTGCAAAAAGACTATTTCCCATGTTTGCAAAAGATTGTTTTCCATATTTGAATTCATGACCTTTCAATTACCAAGAGAGGGCTTACCACTGCTTATGGCTCACCTTAACTTGGGTTCGAACCTACGATGCTCTGACAAAATTACATGACAATTCTACGTTTAGAGGTTAATAAGATGCGAAGTTTGGAGTGAATCTAAACCATAAATATACTCTGCTGACTGGAACGTGGTTGTAGTTTCTGATTGAATGTCTTTATGCTCTATGCTAAAGTTTGGATTTCCATACTGTAGGAGTCATTGTTTCAATGCAAAAGAAAACCATATCAAAATTTCCAAAATGATAAAATAATGGCATCGGAAATGAAATTTATCATACCACTGTTCTTTGTGATCCAGTTGCATCTTTTCAATTCCCCAGGCTCAGTGGTTACTGTTGGATATTGTTGTTGGTGATGATGTACAGTTTTAGCAACTGTAGGTTCTCTTCTTTCTCGTGATGAAATCAAACGCAGTGCCAATGAAATATTTTCATCCAGAGGAGTCAAAGAATCAGCCTGAGAAGAGTCATTTGAGTTTTGTGACAAAGACAATGACAATGAAGATAAAGATAAAGAAGATGTGCTTTTATTAAGCCCAATAGGGTACACTTTCTTGAGGCTTTTTGGAAAAAAGCTTTGGTTCAATATTTGCCGTGTCTCTTTGACACTTCTGCTCTTCTCCAGAGCATGTCTTCTTACATTCGTTTTAGACATATTGGAGGAGAAGAGAAAATTGTACTGTTATAAATGAGGTAGAAGTTGAAGTCGCTTGGGATTCATAAAAATGGGGGTGCTTTTAAAAGGAGATGGATAGCAAAAGCAATGTCAAACTTGGTTGTTGAAATGTCGTTTCATGTATATGATTTTTTTTTTTTGGTTCAGTAATGAAATACTTTTGGTTCTTGCATTTAAAGCAATATTTGATTATGAGCCATAGAATGCGCGACCCATCTTCTTGAAAAGGATATTTGTGTCTTTTTCCCATTGAAACATATTTATAATCAATATTAATATCATATTCCTTCCTTTTTTAAACGTAAAACAACTCCGAAAACTCTAGTTACCAAAACAATTGAACTGTTCTTAATTACATATTCCTTGGTAATTTTATTAAGTACATATTTTGATAGCACTCTCGATTAAACGTATATTACTTACCATGATTTTATAGTCAAACAATCCGTTTAGCGTAAATTTTGTCGTATTATATATATATATAGAGGTAAAATTATTTCTGTAACCGCTTTACGTACCGCAACGATAGGTGTACGGTTATGATTCTCCACATTTAATGTTTTCTTCCTTTGTATGATTATGATTCCCCGCATTTAATGCTTTCAAGTATATATATGGCAAATATTTTATTGATGCACGTACAGCAGCGGCAGAAACGTAAACCTCATATACGTATGTATGTATATATATAACGTAGAGGTGTTAACGGGCCGAGTCAAGCCGAGCTTTGATCTTAAAAGGCTAAGCCTGTTTTTAAATGTGTCAGCCTGTTTTGTTATAAATATAATTCTCAGCATGTGACCTGACTTATTTACAAAAAATAAAAGTCTGGTTTAGTCTGTTTAAAAAAATTAAGAAAACAAAAATTTATCCAAACAAAATATACAATCAACAACACTAGTAACTCTATAAATATTCATAAATTCAATGTATATCCAAACAACATAATATAGAACAAAATTATTCAAAAAGTATGTTTAACCATTAAAATGGAGCGAAATGAATTGAGGAGAAAGAGAATACTATTACAAGTAGTATAAAAAATAAAATAAAAATAAAAAATAGAATAAATACCTTTTTTGGTCCTCAGCAAATTTCACGATGCCCGCTTTAGTCCCTAACAAATAAAAAGACTATTCATGGTCCCTAAGAAAATCAAAATGGACCCATTTAGTTGAAATCGTGGTCCCTCACAAATTCAAAAAAAGACCCACATTAGTCCCTTAAAAGGATTAAAATGGGTCCATTTCGAATTTCTTAGGGACCACGAATAGCCTTTTTATTTGCTAGGGACTAAAGCGGACATCATAAAATTTGCTAAGGATCGAAAATGCTATTTACTCTATATTTTATTATGTTCTACTAAATTTTTCTCTCTTATTATAATAAGAGCAAGCCACTCACCTTTATTAGAGTGTAGGAAAAAAATTTCTATTTCCCCTTTATATATATATAAGCAATAGATTCACTTGCTATAACTTAATTAGTTATAAATAGTAATTAATTATTAATGTCTTATAAATAATAATTATTAAATAAAAAATATTTATCCTTTTAAAGGAGAGTCATTTTAGTTAAAATTAATATTTTTTATTTAATATTTAAATTAAAAAAAATCTTTCATTTTTTCCCACCATAATTTATGTTTCTTTCATTGTAAAATACAATAATTTTAACTAAAATGACATAGTTCTATATCATTTAAAAGGATAATCACTAATCTCTTGCTAAATACAAGTAAATCAATAATTAATGATTAACATAAGATTAAAAAATAATGCAGCACAACGATAAGATATTAATCAATAACCAAAATTGAGGATGTAACTTATATATAGGGGTGCTAAACGAATTAGAGGCTTTTGGCTCGGCTCGTGAAGACCTGAGCTTATATGTCTAAAATTAGTTGTTAGTACCAGGCTTGAAATTGTATAAAAACTCGTTTAATAAAAAGGACTAAAACTCCAATTCAAAAGTTCGGCCTTAGAACCTCTCTCAGGTTGGCCTAGTATATTAATTTTTAAAGTAAATACCCTTTTTGGTTTTCAGCAAATTTTGCGATGCCCGCTTTAGTCCCTAGTAAATAAAAAGGCCCATCGTGGTCCCTAAAAAATTCAAAATGAACCCATTTTAGGGACTAATATGGGTCTTTTTTGAATTTGTGAAGGACCACAATTTTAACTAAATGAGTTCATTTTGAATTTCTTAGGGATCACAACGGGCCTTTTTATTTGCTAGGGACTAAAGCGAGCATCGTGAAATTTGCTGAGGACCAAAAAAGATATTTACTCTAAAATATAATATGATCCACTCACTTTTATGTGTTTGTAGGAGAAAAATTTTTACACAATAAATTCAAAAATATTAAACCGATATTTAAAACAAGTAATTAAAATGATATATTTCTGGAAAAGAGCAGTTATAACTTATAATCATAAATGGGGGTGACTTACTACGCTGGAGCATCATGGAAAGATCAGGGATAGAATGATTAGGGAACAGGGGATAGCACCTTATTAGAAAAAAAACATTTAAACCAATGTTATCATAATGACACGCAAGATATTCCTTTAAATATTTTCATCATCATTAATTAATAATATCAAAAGTTTTCTTCTTTTTCTTTTTCTGTTTACTGCTTTCTTAAAATTTAAATTGTAAAAGCAGTATTAGGACATAAAGTTTAGTTGAAATGGAATGGATCGAAATGGAACTCCAAATCAAAGGTAAGACCCTAATCATAATTGTTTTAGTTGCAGTGTTTGTCTCAATGCAAGGTAAAATGGGTCCATGACATCCTTGACTCCTACTCTATTGCCTTTAATTTTGAGACATACCTATGGCCTGCAAAGACAAAGATATCCCATCCCTCTTTATTCTATAGTCATTTGGTCATCTCCCCTTTTAAAATTCTTCAGAAAATCTAGCTAAGATTCTTTAATTAACTTGGTGTATATAACATGAGATGAAGAGAGACTATTGATTTGATCTTTATGTACCTATGTTCTTCCTTGGAGGTTAGTCTCAATGCAAGGTAAAGTGGGTCCATGACATCCTTGACTCCTACTCTATTGCCTTTAATTCTGAGACATGCCTATGGCCTGCAAAGACAAAGATATCCCATCCTTCTTTATTCCCTAGTCATTTGGTCATCTCCCCTTTCAAAATTCTTCAAAAAATCTAGCTAAGATTCTTTAATTAACTTGGTATATATAACATGAGATGAAGAGAGACTATTGATTTTATCTTGATGTACCTATGTTCTTCCTGGGAGGTTAGTCAGTTGCAACATATTAGCAGGTATCCTTTATTGTGGTAGTGAGAGAGATATATCTACATATAAATAATTGGTGGTAATTAATTGCCTCTCTAACACACAAAATTTCCACCAAGGGGATGTTTGGTTTAGGAAATTTTTTTGGAATAATAGGAAAATGAGATAGATAGAGAAATGATTGGAAAGAGAGATAAAGTGAGATAGGTAGAAAAATGTAAAAAAAAGTTGTTTGGTGGAGAAAAACTTTACTGGAAAAATTAGGTAACTTTATGAAATCAACAGTGCATTACAAGCCAGATAACCGATTTTCCGAAAAATCCCACCTTCAAATTGGGTTTCTAAACAGTGCGGATATCTATGTTTCTCATAAATCCAGACAAATTGGATAGATGGGTTTTTGGTGAAAAACGTTGAAACAAACATGGTATTTCTAAAAGCCATACTTGAGAAAGATAGATATCCGCTGAAAAGCTCCCAACCAAACACCACCTAAGAGTATTCTAGAAATTTCTTTGACTCCAATAATATGTTTAGATGATATCTCCGAAAGTTTTCATGAAAAATGAAACACTTTTTTCTATTTATATTTAATTACCATGAATTATTTGTTGTATAATCTCTAAACAGTTAGAGAGAAAATTATTTTCTATTTAGTATAATGGCACCTTCAATCATGTAGAAATTTTCGTAAGTGATTCAAGTTCTTCAATCAAGATTTCGTCCATTTTATGATCAATATGCTCCGCTCCAAGTTCCATCTCATGGTTGAATCACACCTTTTGGACATCTCTATGGCCTAAACTATTCTAACATATAGGAAAGAAAAATAATAAGAGAAAAAGAAATGCAGACAAACAAGTCTCATTTACCAAAAATAAAATTAATTAAATATTATTTGCAAATAAAATAATAATTAGCTCATTAACTATCATTTTCTCAAATTGTAGAACCCTTATCTATTGAGCGGAGATTGGAGAAAGGCAGCTATTGAATAAGAAACTTCAGAGCAAATCATACTATAACACCCCGATCTAGAATCGGTTTGTTAATTAAGCGCAGTTACAATCACAACAATTGAATTATAATACAGATAAACTTTTTTCCTTTTGTCGTTAATAAACGTTTTTGTTTAAAATGAATTCCGTAATTAAAATAATTCCAATAACTGTAATCATAACTTAAATAATAAGCGAAACAACTAAGGCTAATTTGAACATGCCATACATCACTCCCCTAAAATGCCAAGTAGTGCCCTTATACTAACAAGGCTTAAAACTCATTTTCATTGATATTGAACACTAAATACCTTCAGTTTTTATTTACTCAAGGAATTCTATACTTCCGCTATGGTCCTCATCTCTCTATATGTTACAGATCTCTTCATTAGCTACGTGTGGGTTCAAACTGCGCTCAATTTGGAGCACTATAGCTCAAGTTATGAATTTTTTAAGAAAATTGTGACACCCTCCCTTGTACGCGTCCAAGGGAGTTGCCTGCTAAGCGGATTAGAGTTTGGACGTCATTGCTTTGATATTGAAAACTTATTTTTCTTTTCTTTTTGTTGCTAAATAAAACTTAAGATGAAAGCTGGTTACATACAAAAATCAGAGTAGACTTGAAAGATTACATAGCTTGCTGAAAATGTTTAATTTCCTGGCAGACCTGTCTGTCTTGAACAATTCGTATAAAATCGAGTTCAACAATTCAAAAAAATATTCTTTGATATATAGAAACTAGACCTCTGGGGCTTCGCGTACATATAAATTATACGCGAATCGGAGGTGAATAGCCCCACGAAACAGGACTCGTAAAGTACTCAAAATTTTTTGTATTTTTCCAAAAACCTCCTGACTTGCAAAAATCATAATAAATTGGGATTTCAGAATTTCATTGTAAAGTTTGTATAATCTGAAACTAGACATCAGGGGCTTCGCGTGTATATAAAATATGTGTCATTCGGAGGTCTATAGCCCCAGATTCCGAACTCGCAAGGTACTCGCGAAAGTAGTTTAAAAATTCAAACTTGAAAATGTACATGAATTATTTTGCTAAATAATACTAGACTTTCACAAGTTACAAACAGACTCCAAAACCCAAATATAGCAATTAAAACATACTATAACATTTTCTTACAACATCTCAAAAATAATTATCACAGCCTACTATAACGATCAACCAACAATTAACATAAATAGCATGTCAACATCAAAATTCTCAAAACGGCAGCAACAAATAAACAAGACATCTTCAAAACAAGCACATCCTCAAATGCCTTTACGTACTCCTGCAATTTATGAAAATTGAGCTCCCGAAGGGGTGAGAAAAATCCCAGTAGTGTGATAGCAAAACCAATAATGCAACAATATTAAACTAGGCACAAAATTCCAAAACAGTCGCATTAACATTTAAAATTTCGTACAGCTGTTAATCATCATCTTATTGCGCATATAACGCCATGGTCATGTATATTCATAATAGTCATAATAGTGCGTATATAACGCCATTTCCTTGTTAGTGCGTATATAACACCATTTCCTTGTACGTTCATAGCACCGTCGTGCACGTACTAACATACACAGTGGATATTCCATGATGGCTCCCTTAAAGGTGAATTCCAACTGTGGCCTATGCGGACGGAAGCCAAGTGTCCCATACCCTGGTACCGAAGGGATGCCTATATGATGCGTGCTCAGTCATATGCTTACTTTAAACATATACTTCTGTTTCTAAATTGGATGCACAATGCCGTATGCCATGATATGCTTCGCACTCACAAAAGATCAGATGGATATGATGTGTATATGCATGACTAAATCATTATCATAATAGCATATCTTTCATGTACTTTCAATACCAAGCTGCTGCATAACAAATATTTCTCATAACAGCATTTCCATCTTGTCACATTCATAGGCAGCACACATTTAACATATAACAGAATACGGTCCATGCACATGTGAGCAACAATTCACAATTCTATACTCTAGCTAATAATCACAATAGGTAATGCCACCTAACACTTACCTTGTGTCCATGCAATAATCAACAGCACCAAAATTCATCTCACTCAACAAGAGTTACGTGCACCTAAATACATGTGACAAGTCATAATTGGTTTCATGTAATTCTTATAATTTATCAACGAGTTTTCATGCTTCTAATTCTTATTCTGTAATCGGTTTTCATAGCTTCTATACTATATTAATTTCTGACTTAGGGTAATACACCAATTTGTTAACAGTGAAACAATCCAAGTTCCCTCATGCAATACCATTCGGTTTTCAACTAGCAAAAAGGGACTCATGATGTTTTCTATACACTCTTACACATCACTACCTAGGGTGCAGCAGCAAGGGCCTAAAGTCCGCTGTAAAATTTATTTAATTCATAGCGTTTGATGCAGCAACATATACCAAGTTCCCTGGGTTAATTATCACAACTTGTATGTATTAATTTACATTCTGCCCATTAATAACAAAGAACAGTGAAATTTCCAAAGTCTCATTCATATACAGGTTCGGTTATGGCCAGAGTTTGGGTGTACCTAATTATACTTCATCCCATGGCTAATTACTTTACTCATGCTAGAACAATTTAATCCTTTAACAGGCTGACTTCGTCCCTACTTACACATGTGAAACCTCATTAATTTATTTTTCTAACAAAAGGGCAGTCCAGCAAGATTAAATCGGCACACAAAATTTCAGTTTTAGCTTACATCCATTCAATCCTAAGACAGTTCATGAGGACCGAAATACGGAAAGAGAAAAGGCCAACATAAACTATTCCCCTAACATACAGGTGAGATCGAACAGGCAGAAATAAAGAAAGGTTATACATTTGACTTACATCCATGAGTAGGACACCCAAGGAGTACCATTCGGCTGAATGAGATAGTGACCCGATGATGCTCAACTTTCCTCCTATTCTACCCTTCATGGTACGGTTCTTAGGCTGCATATAAGGGGAAACCCCAATCAGAATCGATTTAATTCATGAAAACAAGGAGACAAGTAATACCCTACTTCCTTGAGGATTGCATCACGGCTGGATAATAGGGAAAAAGAACTAGAGTTTTCCTTTAGCTTCCTTCCTAAGAATGCTCACGGTCAAAGAGATGGGAAAGTGTTCAGAACCTTATTGTTGTTCCTCAATGATGTTCACGGTTTAGAGGAGGAGTAAAAGAGAAGGGAAACAATTTCTGGTTTTCTTTCTACGCTAGGTAGCTACGGCCTTGGGGAAAAGAGATGGAAGAAAATGGTGTTTTTCTTTCTAAACTCCTTACACATTCACGGTCCTGAAGATGTTGAAGGGAGGAGAATAGCTAAGTTTTTAGTTTTGTTGTCTCATTCAGTAGCGCATAGAAAAAAAAAAAGGGAAGGGAAGAGATAAAACTCTTGGAGGCTGAATCATTGTGACACATTCAGAATTCTTTTATGTCTCATTGGGCGCATATATGACAAAGGATGATTCAATTTGGTTACCACAACAATAGATTAGAATTTTGGTCATGCTCTATGCACACAAGTGGTGGAGAGTGAGTTAGATAACATAGCAAGAAATCTGATTACTTTCTCTACACTCTATGCGCATGCAAGGAGTGGTGGAAGGTTTTTTTTTTGACACATGGAGCACATGCAAGGCTGAAGTGGAATGTGAAGGTTAGCACATGTGATCAGAATTTAATTTAATTTTTTTCTTACCCTATGCGTACATGTGAGGGCTGACTAAAGTGGATAAAGGTTGCCATGTGTTTGGTCTTTAACTAATGAGAGGCTGCCTTCTAAGATCCTTAAGATAAGATGAGGATAAGTAAAAGATTGGGCTGAACCTTAATTACTCCTTAAGGCCTTTGGGCCTTCGGCCAAGCATATAATGGGGACCAAAATATACAAAGCCTAAAGGTGTTGGTAACTTAGGTACTAACCCACAAATTATAAGTTCCCAAGTCTTTTAAGTATTTTTAATCTTTCTATATGTTACAATTAATTTATTTATATATTTTTTTTATAAAAGTTTCACATGCCTAAAAAAATACTCACTTACCATGGTAATTCAATTAATTCCCCAACTTGAATTAATTCCACTTCATGGAAAATAATTATATACTTCGCAAACAATTCATGTGTTAACAAAACTTGAATTCCACTCGTGCCTCCATGTTCCTTATAGCACTTTATGTATATTCCTAATTACGTGGGATGTTACAAAAATGATGTTGAATTTCGCAGGGTCCCGCACTGATAGCGCCAGACCCTATCTTTTCACTGTATTACGGTGCCGTCAGCGCCAACTTGGCACTTATAGCACCAACCGACTGTTTGGTGTCGCCAATAGCACCATCTTGGATCCAAAAGTGCCACGATTCTGGAGATTGCACTATATTTTAGTATTTCACCCATAACTTGAGTTATACTTATCTGATTGACGCAATCTTGGTCTCGTTGGAAAGCTAAGAAAAAGATCTATAACTTCCACTAAGACACAAGGGTCCAAACCTATCATATAGGATATGAAAAATGGACAACAAGACATGATATTTTTTTATTTATATTGATTCTCAACCTAAATGTCTTATTTCACCTAATTGGCATTGTATAACTACTACAAGACATAATCCTTACAATTTTAAGACACACATTTATCATAATAGGCATCCATGCCCTTCCATCATATATACAATAAGTACAATATTACACAATATCCAAATGTCTTTAATACATAACCATGAGACTTAGCTACAAAACACTATAATCAAATTCTTGGCTCCCATCAACAACAAGAGACACCCAAAATTAAGAATGATGTACATATATCAAATGGCTTTAAAATGTAAATCCTATACATGGGAACTACTAAATCATATGCATAGTCATATACATAGTCAATCAACGTGGCATGGACAACCTCCATGCTCACAAAATAAGGCAACAAAGCCCCACAGAGTCTCACAACAAATAACAGGATAATAAATATAAGCATCTCATCACCTGTAACACCCCGTTCTAGAACCGGATTGTTATCATTGCGTACGGCATTAAGCGCAGTTACAATCACATTGGTTCAATTAGAAAACCGGATAAATTTTTCCTTTTTATACAAGCCGGATTCAAATAACCAAGTGCGTGATCATAACTATACATACTTCGCGGAATAGTGGGACAAAACTAAAGGTTATATTCCCATTATACTTGACAATACGTCGTGAAAAGTCTTCATCACTTTAATTATCAAATTAATTCTAAACTCCTTTTATGATTCCCATCTTCTACTATGTTATAGTATTTTTCATTAGCTACGCGTGGCTTCAAACCGCGCTCAAATCGGAGCACCGTAGCCAAAGTTATGCATTTTCCAAGAAAAGGGTGCGAAACCTCCAGAACCCCCGCGCCCGCAGCGTGAGATCCACGCTCAGAGCGTGGGAAAACAGAAAGTTGGCGCCCCAAGCGTGAATATGGCGCCCCAAGCGTGGATGCTACTGTCTGATCTCGTAATTTGGCGCCCCAAGCGTGAATTTGGCGCCCCAGGCGCCATCCACAGGGCTGGGTGACCCAAAACAAGGTCATTTAGCCTACCTATGGTTTTCCACTCATAATTTGAGCTATACTCACTCAAATTACACCATTTTGGTCTCTATGGAAAGCTAAGAGGAATGTCTACCACTTCCCTAGAGACATAAAAGTCCAATTCCATCACATTGGTTATGAAAATTGGTCAAACAGACAGGATGTATTTATTTTCTCAACATTTCCCAATTTAGCACTAGGTACCTAATTTAGTTTCCAGTTCAACAATCCAATACTTAATGAACATACATATATTAAACTCAAAGTACTCATCAATTACACATCATGTTCATTACAATTCATGGAACTTAGCTAACAAAACACTATGATAATTCCCTTGGCTCTCATCAACAAAAGAGATGACCAAAGGCATGAGCATAGGCTAAGTCCATTCCAATATACAATTCATACATCTATCAATGGTCTATGAATTACAATCCTATACATGTGAGCTACAAAACAACATGTACAATCTCAAAAGAAATGCCACATTTCATGCATAATCCAGATATGGCCACTTGCCACCAGAGGCTCCTGCAGCATCCTTACCTGAAAGGGGGTCCCCACAACACGGGGTGAGATATACGAATATATCCAGTAAACCAAGGGTCCTTGGAGTATCTCTCCACCCCACAGTTCCATATCAGTGTAATAGCAATAACTATAATAATGCAGTAAATACATATCTATGCAAAGTGCAATACATCTCCAGGAGAAATCCCTCGAGCTCTCAAGCTGTCCTAAGGAAACTCAGATGCAAATAGTCCTACTGGCCAGCTAACTACCAAGTATGATTTACGCATCGTCATGCAACATACCAACATAGGGAAACACCATCCTATGCCACACCAAATGCATACACATACGTATAACAAAGCATTACACTATTTTATTGCATTTATATACACAATCACAACCTCTACCCTTTCAGGGCTTGGTGGAACAGTCAAGGGAATTACACCCAAGGTCCGAAGGCTTACCTCAATGCTTCAGTCGACCTTTGTTCTTCACCAACAGTTTCAGCAATCCACTTTTACAAATATACACCTATACAAGGGTAATGCAATTAACATATTGCATTCAAGGATAACTCATCACCATCAATCCAAGCTATCCTATTCATACCACAACACAAGGATGAACTTACCTATTTCAAGGACTAATCCATCTCCATTGCTTGCTCCAAAGGTTGGTCAATTAAGGTTGATCCAATTGCCTCAATCCTAGACAACACAAGGATACAATCAAGGACCAACCCAACAATGGTTCAACAATGCAAGAAAACTCATAACCAAGTGTCATATTCTTGCAATTTTCCAAAGTATAGTCATATAACTATCTAAGCTCATTTTCACCGATTAAATGCCATTCCTAGCATTTCTTATAACATGCACTAAGCTCCATTCTTCCTAGAACATAGCTACTTTAACAACATTTCATCAAAACCCTAAAACACTATTCATAAACCCCAACTCATGCAAATTTCAAGGAATCATGAGGTTCAAGGGTTAGAATCTTACCACCAATGGTCACACAACCAAGGATTGATGGCTCCTCAAGCTTCAATGGAGGTTGAAGCACTCAAAACCCCAAATTTCTCCAAAGGGCCGAATTTTTGAGGAGCAATATCCCTCTCCACAATGCTCCCCACTCAAAACCAAGCTAGGATTATGAAAGAGGGGAAGATTTGGAGTGGTTTAGGCTTTGGAATCACTCAAAATGGTTGAGATTAGCTCTCTCTCTCTCTCTCTTCCTCCCTTTCCCTCCTTCTCCTTCTTCTTCCTTTCTTCTTTTCTCTGATGCTGGCGACGGGAAAATGGGGTGGGAAATGGGTTTCTATTTGCTTTGGCCACTTAACATTAGTTAAGTGGAATCAAGTGGGTATTGGTTCGTCTATCTATTTAACTCCAATAATTACCAGACTTTACCCAAAAGTCTGGAATATTATTCTAGGAATATTTATAATTTTATTTTTATATTTTGGGCACTTTCGCCAGTACCCATTTATACCCCTTAATTTTCACTTAATACACTTTTTAACTCCAAAGTGACTCAGATTCATTTCATTAAGCCTTATACTTAATTTTACTCACTAAAACATGCTTAATTATTTAACTACATGTAATTTGCTAATTAATTAGGTTAGGGATATTATATTCACCCCACCTTTTAGCGATTTTGTCCGCAAAATCAGGAACATACCTATTCCTGAACTCGGGCTACCGCTAGAGAAACTCGTTCTCCCCGTTACCAACTGGACAGGTCAGGCCTTCTGCCTTCCCACTGCATCTCGACCATCAAAATGGTTTTATCTCTATACTTATACACACGTTGCCACTAGGTGCAAGCCTTTGAGCTTATAAGTAGTGCTCAATCTCCTCAAGCCTAGTTATTTTATCCCTACCAGGTCTATATCCTTCGTTCTGGTACGAAACCATAAAACATCATGGTCTTACCTCATCAACATTTATTCAATTTTAATAATGTTACTTTCAAACTCCTCATCTTTAAGACAATCCTAAGATCATCACCAATCTCCATATTGTGTGCTAACCCTTTCGTTAGGCACACAGCCTTTTAGAGACTATTTTCTCAATGATCCATTATCACCCCTTACCTCTTATCTCACCTGTCTATTAACACCAGGTTTTTTCTTTCTTTCTTTTTTCTCATGTCCTATCATTACAAGGCTGTTTATAATAAATCTCACAAAATTTTCTATTTCGTGAACTAGTCTTTTCATTACAACTTTGAACCCTTTCTAAGTTTTCGATCTAATATTAGTCATTTTTCTAATATTACTGTCCACATGTGCTTTAGTATATCAGCCTTCTCACTGATAATATCCTATCCTATTTAATTGTACATCAGTTTTGTCACTGATGATACCATTCCATTGAAACATCAGTGCATCAGTCTTTCCACTGATAATACCAACTACATTTATAATAGACCATCAGTCCTTTCACCGATGACCCTATCAGTCTTTACACTGATAATACAATCCTTACCTAAACTTTTAATTAGATATTAGTCCTTTC